TTTGAAATACATATGGAAACAAATTATAGTAACATTATTATATATTCTTTTAATTCATACTTTTATGTATCATTTTAAAAGATTGTTATGAAATACATATGATATTTATTATAAGTAATTATGCATCAAAATATTAAACTTATTATATTAAACAATTATTTTGAGGGTTTAGCTGTGGCTTATGTACACTTAATTTAGTTAGGGGAATTACTTTCAATCCTAACATACACTTCTATTAATAGTTATATCCAAATTATTTTTCCCTTTCCCATTTATTTTCCCCTTTCAACTTTTTTTTCCTATTTTTAAAAAACCTAACATATTTTATGCTAAACGTGCTCTTAGAACTTTGCCAAATACTTGCTCAAAGGACCAAAATTGAAGCAATGTTTTCAAGATTGAGGTTGGACATGTTGTAGTATGTGTCCAAATTTGACCATAATGTAATTCAAGAAAATTTATTTCATAAAAAACTCTATGATTCCTATGCTTTGTAACATAATCATCATAATATTGATATATAACCGGTGACTGGAAACGATTTATCTTTCATTAATTTTTAAAATGTATTTGTGAACCATTATTCATAAAAATATATTTCCTACCACAAAATCAGACATTYGATCTGAGTTTGTTTGCAATACCCTGACATCAACATCCTTGTTGACATCCTTTTGCAACAGTATGCATGTAGCTTGGTTCATAATTAAGCCATGGGTTTACATATTATCTCTTGCCTCTGGCCCTTGGAAAATCTAAAATGAAAAAACAAATACTTTAATTCTCATTCTTTTGTTGCATTTCTTCTTGTAATCTAAATTTAATTTTTTGTTTCAAAGATTATTTGATTCCCATCCTCCAAGAAGTCTGTAAGTACACTATTTTGGTAATTTATCACGGATTTAATTTTGTTTCTTATTTTACTCAGCCTAAGGTTATTGAATAAGCTTTTATTTCCTCAAAATTGAATACTGCTTGGCTCATATTGGCCAAAAAATTAAGTATGTTTGAGTGTTTTGGCCTCGTTGCCGGGGAAATCATACCCATTTGTTTATCTGACAACCAAGGATTTCGTCCCATGTGACTTTTTATGACGTCAAAATCCCGTACTCAAAAGAAATCCTTAACTTGCACCTGAATTATTACTCTTTCTTCTCGAGATAATGAGTTTCTGCTCCTCGGTATYACATTTGCAAGCTTTGAAATTGTATAATTGTCCTTTAGTTCAAGGTTGACTGTACGACGGACGTAAATTGGCCTAAGATTTGGCAGTGTAGTAGTAATATTTACATTGCATTGAGTATTGAAGTTCAACTTTTGAAACTCTTCTGTACGTGTTTTGATAAAACCTCTGAGATGATKAACTAGCTATAATGGCTGATAATAAGAAAGACGAAGAGTTAGATAATGAAGTCAAGTATTCAGAAGCAGTTTCGAGGGAAAGTTCGAACTTGGAAGGAGAAGGAGGAAGTCAAGCCAGCGGGCAAAATGTCACTGGCGAAGCTGTTCAACGTGAAGAGAGCTTCGCCAAGAAAAAGAAAGGCAAAAAGGCAAAACGCCAAGACGATGATGAAGAACCTCTAGAGCGAGGTGACAGCTTCTCTGGACCCAAGAAAGGGAAAAAGAAAGGCAAAGGAGTAAAGAAGATCAAACAAGTTCGTGTTCCTGACGAAGAAAGTAAACAGAAAGAACAGTTCGAGTTAGGCGTTTTAGAAGAAACTGGCAGACCTACCGATAAAAAAATAAAAATGGAGACTACGAATATAGATAACAAGCTGATTCAAGAAGGTCAGGAAACTGAAATAATTACCCCAAAAGAAGGAACTACTGTCAAGGATTCTRAACAAAACAAGGACGAACGGCTCGAAAGCAGCGGGGACGAGAAGAAGGATTCGGAAAAGGAATCTCCAAGCGACGAAGATAATACAATTAAAATTGTTGCTAAAGATGAAAAATCTGATTCAACTGAGAAACCTGACGGCGTGAAAGATAGCGAAGGAGAAGAAATAAGAAGAAGGCCAACGCTTTCAGAGTTAAGAGGTGCTAGCATCGAAGGAGCAGAGGAATCGAGAGTGGCAGCGGAGGTCAGTGTTTTAAATTATTTATCTTCATAAAAGTCTCCGAAAACCCTTCTTTAGAGAGTTTCTTTGGGTATCAGAATAAGGAAATGAAGTGAACATATCTTTTTTTCCTTATTTGTCTTAATTTCCTTTCTTAAAGCACTTATCTTGATTTAATGGTGGTAGTCGCGACAAAGCATTTAGTGAGAGGACATTTATGAACTTGAAAAACAAATAACCTTGTCAAGATCCGGGGACAGATGTCCAGAGAATGGTGGTCTGTCTAATATTTGAATACTCTGTGATAATGTAATAATAATATGATTGCAAGCTTTGGATAGCTGATTTAAGACAATTTTATTTCTCTATAAGTTGCTTAATTACAAAAGGGGTACATGTAGTACTGGTTATTTGTACACAACCCCTGTTTCATGCAGGGACTGGAGGGGTTCAGAAGGGTAGTAGAACTTATAGACGTCAGGAATTTTGCACCTGTCAATCAAGAACTCACTGCTTACACTGTTTTAATGATTGGCGGATGGTAACGAAAAACACGACAAAACATGCATTGTATTTCTGTAGGCGGAAATATGAAGAATGCTCTACAAGGATTGCTCATTTTTATTTCTAGCATATACATACACTGTATTTACTCCCCCAGGGGGTACTGCCCTATATTCGCTACACAGGTACGTGCCGCCAAACAGGGTATGGTTTTCAGCGATTTTACTCTGGAACAGGGTCAGGGTTCAGAGGGCTCAGCGGCACATCCCTACCATAAACGGGCAAGAGTACCCCCTCCCCTCCGGGATTTACCCACAAGATTTTCATGGAACGCCCCTAATGGCTTGTCAATGGTCTCTGTCTGTCCATAATTGGCACTTTTCTTGCTAAATGCCTTTAAGGCCAGTTCTCGTTATTTGTCAGATTGACTGGTCATGAGTTGATCAAGCAGCTATTATTTTTAGTCACTGTGCACTGTGCAATTTATTTATTTATTTATTCATTGTCATTACTGCAGCATTTAAATTGAGTTGAAAATTGATAATAATAATAATAATAATAATAATAATAATGATATTTTATATAGCATCATTATCATGGAGAGTTATAAAGCAATGCTTTACATTACAAGTTTTATCATAAAAAGTTAAGGAATGAAATAACATTCAAATATTTTCAACAATATATTCAATTTCATTCAATTTCAATTTTCATTCAATTTCAACATTAATATAATTACATATGCAAATAAAGATTTGCATAAAAATATATATCAAGAGTAAGACTTCTTAAAAAGGAAGGTTTTAAGCTCACGCTGAAAACTCAAAATATCTCTGCATAACCTCATGTGCAGGAAGGGAATTCCATAGTTCTGGYGCAGCATTTGAGAATGCTCTTTTACCATAGGATTTAAGTTTGAAAGAACCTTTGGTTAAAAGATTGGATGATTGTGATCTCAGTTGACGAGGTGGCACATATGGTTTTACCAGTTCACTAAGATATGAGGGAGCACACCCATTCATAACCTTGAAGTTAGTAAAAGTATCTTGTAGTCAATTTGTTGTTCATCAGGCAAAATTCTCCTTTTTAACAATAAGGAGGTGCTTGTTCAATTTCTGGGGTGCATTTTGAAAAGGCTGCTTGGTGTAAAGGGGGTAGGGTCACATGACCCAAGTGCTAGCGGCTTACTAAATGAAAGATTTTCACTGAGAATAATTCATACATCTTTTTTAGAACTTGGGGTTGGTCGAAGAAGACTCAAAAGACAAAAAGGACCAAACAAAGGAAAACAGTCCTTCAACTGATTCAGAAACTCAAGCAACTACTACTGAGCAGAAAGAAGCAGAAGTAGTTATTGAGGTGGAAAGAAAAATCTCTAAAGATGCGCTTACATCCATTAAAGTTGTCTCTACGAAGCAAACAGAACAAGTTGCTGTGCCTTTACAGCAAGTTACTGAAGAACAAGAATCTATCAGTGTTGTTACTAAAGAAGAACAAGAACACATCGTAGTTCCTATGGGTGAAGATGCAGGAAAACCAGATGAGGAAAAGGCCCTTGAGGTTACTATAGAAACCACTGAGGAAAAAATAACAACTGAAAAAACTCAAGAGTTGTCTGCAGAAGTTGCAGTTGAAGTTGAGGCTGCAGTTGAAAACAAAACTGAATCTTCTTCAGAAGTGACAGCAGGTGAAAAACCCCAAGAAATGTCGGCAGAAGTAGCAGTTGAAGTTGGGTCTGTAGCTGATAACTCTGGATCTCCTTCAGGAGTGATGGCAGGTGGAAAGGAAGATAAAGATGATGTTAAGGAGGAAGAATCTGATGGAAAAACACAGACATTTTTGGAGTATGAGATTGAGGATGAACTGCCCTGGGCAATGTACAGGTCACTAGACGCACCTCTCACAAAAAAGGCGCCAGTAGAGGAGGACGATGAATGGCCTCAGTCAGAAGAAGAAGAGGAATATGGTAAGAACAGGATAAAAGTACTTGGAATCTGTTTACTTTTGTTCATATTGTGTGTCTTTCTCTCACACACTACATATGATTTTCTTCAGGTTCTCTGATTTTCCTTGTTAATACAATATCTGAGCTGTCCAATAATTTATTTTTTAGGACTTTTTTTAAATATTCAAATTGGAACTATTGGAACTGTGTATGGAGCAATTGCCAATTTTGGCCTAAACACAGGGTGGTACCAAGATTATGTGTGATGCATGATTTAAGCTAAAATAAGTGTGTGATACATAAAAATGAGTTTGATTCATAAATTCTGGGCTTACTTTGACACAATGTTCTTCTCTCGAAATGTGTGTGATTCGTGAATACTTGAATCAATAAATTCCTGAAAAGTTAAAATTCAGTTAAGATTCATGATTCGTTAATGTGCCTCAAAATTATGTGTGAGGGTTAGAAATATTGTTCTGTAAAATGTGGTGTCAACCACCTCCGAGTCACATTATGAAAATTGTCCAATGACCAGGAATTATTCTCAGCCATAAGTAGAATCCAGAAATAATTCCTTGATGTCCAGAAAATATCCAATGAGTAACTCCACTTATGATTTGCATGTCACAGGAGGGTCTGGGATTAAAATAAAATAAATAAATTAATTAAAATTTTGAAACCAATGCAATAATTTTGTTTCATAAGAACCACCAACTAAAGAAGAACTCCCAGATATAGATGAACTAATGGGGAAACTAGATGGTGGAGAAACCGAACTAGAAACCTCAGCACCCCCTCCGCCTGTCATCCAGCCTGAAGATAAGGCACAGCAACAGAAGAAAATAGATGAACTAAAGCTTGGCCTGGCTGAAGAAAAGATAGATTCTTATCTGGATGACTTCGAGAGAAGAATGGAGGAAGAGATCTTGATGATCGGACAAATCTCACTGGAAGAAGTTCAGGTTAGTTTAGATAATTCATTAATACTTTTGAGATTTTCATGTTGTGAAAGACATAATATTTGCAAGGTTTTATTGTTTCCACTTGTATATCCTTTTTTTAATAGAAAAAATATATAAAGCTGTATAAAGCTGAGACCAACAAGAATTATGGTTAGATGTTTGGCTTTGATAACTATTGATGGACTTAAGATCTTTTACCAGTTAAAGTTTCATATCCTGTCCACATCCTTAAGATGATGTTTGTATCAAAAGCTTTCCTCAATGTTTCCCATGATCCTCAGCATTCTCAGTTAACCATTAATCCTTGATGACTAACTTTATTTAGCTAAGTATACAAAAATCAACAAGTGAGATGAGTGTTGTATGTTGTAATATAGTATGTAGTGGTAGTGTGTGTGTAGCGAACCTCATGACGGAAGAGCCCATGCAGGGACTATGAATGGTTGTATTAAATTGTCATATTAAAAATGAAAAAGATGTTTTGGCTGTTCTTGTAACAGCTGTCAGTATAGATCCTAATTGTTGCTAAGCCTATTATCATATATGGTAGGAAGAAGAACGTCGACTAAGAGATGAACACATTTCATATCAACAACAAGAAGCCAAGGTTCAACAAGAGAGAATCCAAGACATTATTGCCAGAGAAGAAAGAGCTAAGAAGTACATAATGGCAAAACTAAAGGAGAAACGCAAGGCTATTTTGAGGAGAGAGGTGAGTCAAAAATGACTTATACCACAAAATAATGAGGTCATTGTGAGTTCAAGAAAATATTTTGTAAAGCCTTTTTGGGCTTTTAGGATTCAGGGTAAACTGAAAGGGGAAAAAAGGAAGAAAAAAAGAGAAAATTGGCAAATAGAAACAAAGAAAATTTTCAATGCCTTGCTTTGGAAGGGAAGGGGCATCTTGATCTTAAAACAAAAAAATTCCCATTTATTTTCTATTCATTTTCATTTATTCCCAGTCTGAGAATACCTCTTTAAAATATTGTTATAAGATATTATTAGCAAAATTTTTCTCAGTCATGTTCCATTCATTCTCATTCTTTCCCATTTTGATAATGCATCTCAGAAATATTAATGTTAAATAGAAAGTCAAAAGCTAGCCTTTCTGTACTT